ATTTTATGTTCATACAAATTGTCAATTGACCAAATAAAAGAAAAAAATTAAAATTGACATAACATGTACAAATGATGTAGTACAAATGATGTACCAGTATTAGTAATCTATTGATACATGTGATAATGCATTGGTACAACTCTTAATTGATCAATGGAAAAAAAAAGTCTTATATTCTAATTACAGGGTCTGAAAGATAAATCCCCAATAATTATTTCTGTGTTGTATGATATTTGATTAAATAAAGGTAAATATAGAAAAAGTTCTACCAGTAAGGTTGGGTAGGGCAGGTAAACCTAAATTAAATGCTCCAATGCTTGTGTATTGAAAGCACGTCATTTAAAGGGTAGAGCTGTAGAAAGCATTTACTAAGGGTCTGAAACAGTTAGTCATTGAGAAGATTTATTTATCATTTTTCTAAGTAGTAATATTAGTTATATTAGTTTATTTATATTTTTTTTACTTAAAACAAATATTACCCAAGCTAATTGAAGTGTCTCTACTCTTTCCGGTAGCTTTATGATCAAATGGTCATCCCTCTTGCTTGCTTGCTTTGATTAATGTTTACCATCAGAAGAAAATGAGTGGAACTACTTTTGACCATATTAAAGCCATAAGTTTTACTGGAGTCCATAAACAAATTGACATGGAAATAAGATTTCCTGTGCTGTCTAAAAAGAAGATGGATTGAGATATTGATTGTGATGGACAAATTGAGAAAGAGAATCGCTGGATGTTTTAAGTTTTAAACCCTGGCTTTATAAAAAAATTACTTTTATTTCCAAGAGAGGACAGGGTTCCTCAAGTTTCAAGATGTGGAAGCAGTACTTTTTAGCGGTGTTTTTCACACTAGTGGTGCTATCAACCAAGACAGTGAATTCACAGGAACGTAAGTGCAAGAATTTTTATTTTTTATTTCATCTAAGAGTATATTTTGATTTTTGAATTAAAACATGCATTTTTAAAAAAAATAATCAATTACAGCATATAAGCTAAATGTCAAAAATAAAACATCTCTAATATGGTTTGCTTTATAATTTACCAAAAAAAAACCCCTCATAACGAAGTGCCAGGGATTGGAGATTTTGCTTCGTCATAAGTGTCATTTGTAATATCTGTTAAGTTTACTAGTCTATATATTTTAAAGACATGGGGAATGAAAATCACTGTGCTGTAAGTGTCAGTTCATTATAACTGTGTTCACTATAAGCATTTTTTTTTACTGTAAATAGTAATTATTATATTTATTTACAGCATGCAGTTCACCTGATCCCAACATTGTTGGAACTGTGTATGAATCCACTTTTTCTTCTTTTGACACAAACTCGCCACTCTATAGAACAGACACAACGATAGAAGGAATAAATCAGGGAACTCAGACAGCATCTAGAGTCAACATAACGTTTGTTCGATCACTAGCCACTCCTTCTGATCTTATTTTAAATAACCTTTTTGAACTGATAACTTTACCAGTATCAGGCTCACCTTTTGGAAGTAGGACTTTTATTCGATTAAAGTCAGCAATTGACAGAGATGTAAGTTTCATAAATTGTGATTTAAACCATAACAAATAAAAAAAAAATGCTTAAGAAAAGATGTAAGTAATTGAAATCAATGTGAATTAAATCGGTATGATGAAATATATTATGCAATATTGAAAGCAAAATTTAATCAATCAAATCATTGCAATATTTTTATTTCAAAAAAACCCATATGGTTTGGATATGTGAAAATTAAGAGAATAATATTATTTGTGCAAATGATTTTATGGTTGTCACATTAGTCTAGGGTAATCATTTCTTTTAAATACTGCATTTATTGAATACTTCTTTCAATTTTTTTCACAGGGGAGTTCCTATGTAGCTAGTGATGATGTTGACACTGTAGAATTTCAATTATCATGCCGTTCTTTGGTAAGTAACTTGCTAATGTGAACCTGTTTATTTTGAAAACTTTTTATCTTCATTTGTAAAAAATTTCATTCAGTAGTGACTAGTTACGTATTGTTTGAAGTGATCTTTGCTGATATAATTGATTTTTGAAAATGCTCAAAATATTTCTTTGAATTTGTAGAAAGACCCAACGCAAACAAAATTTTTCCTGATGCAGTTGGAGATTCGAGATATAAATGATAACGCACCCATATTTGACAATGCTCCTTATTCTGCTTCAGTTGATGAGGTTTGTCAGAATTACTACACCAATAGGGTACAGTGTATATACAAAACAAAGAAAAGGAAGAAATATTATTTATAATCTCATTAAAACTATAAGGAAAATTATTTTGATGTACTGGAGTATTCAAAAAATCAAGGGTTTGGTAAAAATATGCTGATAGAGTAGATAGATTAATGCATTTAATTAAACCTTTAAACCAGGATTGTAGAACTGGCTCTCCTCTGGAACTCCTATAAAATAAAAGGGTTTGTTGGGAAATTACATTCTTTTTTTCTGTACAAATCAAAATTTTATTAAAACTTTTAAAAAATATTTTAGTCAGCACCAGTGGGAACAACAGTGTATTCTGGGATTACAGCTACTGATCTGGATGCAGGAAGCAACAAAGAAATAGAGTATGCCATAGTTCCCGGAGATGGAAGTATTGTGAGTGATTTTAATTCCATTTTTGGTATTCATAGAAACTTCAATCTGCGAAGCAATATTTGAAGTTAGGATTGATTATTGTTTTTTTTTTATGCCAAGTCGGCAATATTTCAGCCATATTTCAGCAGGAACACAATATACTGAAAAATATTCAATTTGAATATTAACAGTAAGGTGTTTTCAAATTCATTTATATAAAACTACTATATCATAGTGTTTCTCTCACACACAAATACGTAACATACCTATAAAAATATGCATGTTTTTAAAAGTTCTTTTAAAAGATTTCTGCATCAAACTGATACCGTTAAATTAGAATACCATCCGCAAGCCTCTGAATTTTTTAAAGGTCTAGCTATTAATTTCTATACAAAACAAAAGTATGTCATAACTACCATTTGACTTCATCAAAAAACTGGAAATGGCAAGCTAAAGAATTGTCAAACAGGTCGTACAATTCAAACAATTTGCAGCAGTTTTTTTTTTATAGAGATTTGTGTCCTCTGACAATTAACTGAAAAATGGAGAAATTTGTAAAATAAAAGTAAACAATTCACGAACACATTAGGGCTGTGTATTTAGCAAAGCATTTTGATACATGAAACATGACATCAAACGAGTTTCTACTCTTTAGCAATAAATTTAGGTTTATATAATGGTAGGGGAAATAAATGTATAATTTGGGGGTTGGGGTGGTTTGGAGGGGGATGGGGTTGTGTTACAGGGAGAGGGGCTTGTGAAGCCTGAAGTAACGAAATTTAATACATTTATAGCTTTTAAATGCATTATTTTCAATGAGTAGAAAGAAATGGGACCTCTTTTTTTTTTATTTTAGAATGATGGCACAACCAGATTTGCACTTCCTATCACTTCAAGAGGAGAAATCGTAGTCAGCAATTCTTTAGACTTTGAATCTGTTCGGTCATATACCATCACCATATCTGCGACAGTGAGTACATGTATATGATATTTCAGAACAGCATCACCAGAAAGCGGTAACATGTAGGGTACTTAAGAAGATTCTTACTTATTTTCTAAATTTTACTTTGAATTTTAATTTTCAATTATTTCAATACTCTATTTCAAATCAGATGATATGTATAAAGGTACAAAAACTATTGTTTCTGATCACATTTCCAATACATTAACTTCCAAGAGTAAAAAGCATCTGGGTAGAAGGATTTTTGAGATGAATGATATATTTATTTACTCATCTACTAAAGTTGAAAATATGAAAACATATTCTTTTGTTTTTGATTATTTATTCATGTTATTAAGGACAAAGCCAGCAATGCTGCAGATAGGAAACAGACTACCACTACTATCACAATAACTATAAATGATGTGGATGATTTAGGGCCCGAATTTGTGTATTCCTCCTGTTTTAATGTCAACAATGTTTGTTTTAACCCTATATACACAACAAGTGTCACATCTGGGTCAACGGTGAGTTTTATGACTTTATTCAAGATTGAGCTTATAGCCGTATAAGGTTTTATATGGTAAAACATAGGGTTTAGCAAATGTAGTGGTTGCAAAATCATGCTAACAGCAAACATTTTTCTTCAACCCAATACTATAAGATAATGAATTCAGAATAGAACAAATTGATTTCAGCTGTTATAGGCATATACACATTGTCTTTTACTGTAGAGCTTCATATATAAAGAATGTTCCTTTGTAGGCTGGCACGCTTGTATTTAACCCAGTACCTGTGGTTCCTGGTAATCCCAATGCAGTGGTTGACATCGTTGCAGAGGACAGGGACACACTTAATGCTCCAATCACCTTTACCATTCGACAAAGTAAGGACACAGTGTGTGACTTTTATATGATGAGAAATATTTGAAATTAAAACAAATGGGCAACACAAAATTTTACATTAGTAGTGTAGTCTTAAACTACACATTTCAATTACAGGTTGTGGTTCCCAGTTAGACTGTTTCTTCCAGTTCTTAAATAGCCATTAGAACAGTTAGGACTGGTTCATAAATTAATTAGAACTAAAGAAGGATTCTTAATTTCTTATATGTATTAAGTTGAATTGATTTTAAGTGGAGTTTTTAAATCAATTTTTTTTATGGAGAACAAATGGATGGCTAATAATCAGCAAAGGTTTTGTACTGGACATTAGTTAATATTTACATGATTAATAAATGATTTATCAACATACACTTATCATTATTTAAGAATTTTTGCCTTATTTTTGTTGCACTCTGCAATATTACATATATATTTTGTCAGCTTTGCCATCTGGATATGAGAACAGATTCCAAGTGACCACACAACAAGTTTCTGGCTCAGCAAGTCAGTATCGAGCCCTTGTAAGCCAGACAGCATCAATCGATAGATCCCAAGTTCCTGAGCTGGAACTTTTCATTGAGGTATATTTTATCTTTCAATATATCAACTATCGAGATCTTTTGACTCATACATAGTGTTCATGGTAATATTCTTACAAATATTTTATCATACTGTTCTATACACAGGCTCAAGAAAATGTTGCAAATAGATACTCCAACAGAGCTACAATAAAATTGTCAGTTGCTGCAGCCAACAACAATAACCCAGTGCTTAGTGTACCTTTCCAAGGATACATTTATGAAAATTCACCAGTAGGAACCATACCAAGGAATAATGATGGATCTAGCCTATTAAAAATCACTGTTACTGATCCTGACTTGGTAAGATTTTAATTTTTAATCAATTATGATCATAAAAAAAATTGTGGGATTTTTGTCATAATACTTGACATAAGAGGAGTAACTAATGGTATTGAATTACAGATTGTATGTGAGACTGGACAATACACGGTCGCCGTCAATACACGACTGTTTAGAGTAAACAGTGAAGGATATGTAGAAGCAGCTGCCATAATAGACTATGAATCCACTCCAACTGTCACTTTCACTGTAAGTGTGCAATTTTTAAATAAAAGAATATGCTGGTGCTGCCTATACAAACTTCATATTATTATGATTAGGTTATTTTACTGTAGCATGTCCTTGACATGACTTACTAAGGCGTTTTTTCTTTAAAATGAAAATCTAGGTCACAGCAACTGAAGTTGGAACTCAGAACCCAAGAAGTGGAACTGTACAAATCACTGTTAATGTCCGAGACCTGTATGAATTGTAACATAAATCTGAATTTACTAAATAAATCATAACATGATTCGGGAAAAAAATTGTGTCAGTGACATCATTAATTAACGAGCTTGTGTGTTATCTTAAAAAAAGAAGGACAAAATGCAAATTATTTCATTCATTTTATCAATCTACATAAAATTTAGAGTAGCGCTTGATTTTTTTCCAATTGAATTATCAAAGAAAATACCTGGTATACAATTATCTTGAAATGAATGTATAATATTTTGAGGTCTTATTTAATTCATGACATTACATCAGAGGAAAATATCAATTGCTTATAAGTCTGCATATGTTTTCCAAGCTAAGAACATGATTAAAAATATTGTTTTCATAGTTTGCATTGAATAGTGGAAAAGTATTACCAAATATAGTGTCTGTCTTTTGATTTTTCAGATTGCTCACTAATATCGGACTCTACGGGTAAATTTTTAGACTGCAAGAACAAAGGAATGATATCACAGCAATGTTTTAAACAGAAATTACTTGACAGGTAAAAAATACAAACACATCAGCAAAAAGTTTATAACAACACTTTTATACTGACCATTGTCTTTTTTTTTTTAGTCATTTGTGCATAAAGAAAAAGGAGAAACGGTGTTTGTTTGGCACTCTTTAGTGTACAATTCTCTGTTAACCTTGGGCTTTCAGTAGGGCGTGGCATTCTCCGCGTTACATAATTAGCGTCTGAAATTTACATTGCTTTCATTCACTGTTGAAATATACATGGACTAGAAATTCGGGCTAATGTCAACTAGTGTAGCAAATACATTGTGTATATCTAATAACATTGTCTAGTACGTCAAAGAGATGGGGCTTAAGTCGTCACATCGCTGTCAACAACAATTTAAAGTTTTTTAATCAATGAGAATCTATTTGCCATTTGACAGCTGTCGCTAATTACGTAGCGCCGAGAATGCCACGGCTTACTGAAAGTCCAAGGTTAACTGAAAGTTTCAAAAATTTCAAGGTGATGAAACATACAATCATTAAAAGTAGCTCTAATAAACTGTAAAGAGATGATCATCTGATTTTAGGTACATATATACTGTAAATATTTAACGTATTTCAGAATAATGCTTGACAAGAATTTATCAAAACTCAAAATTGAATGTAAGATGCTTCAACTAAGCGGGGTTGATGGAAGTGTTCTTAAGTCATTCCCTACAAACTTTTTGTTTGATAAAAACCGTTTCAAAAGAAAGGCATTTTCCAAAATTGCTTTGAATTTCAAACCCCTACATTTTTGCTGAGTATTTTAGGGTATATTACTCCTGGTTCCTTTGTTAGCCATGTGAAAACTTAACAATTAAATTACATGTGCAGATATTTAAATTGTCCATTGCATCAAACAGTCATCGTATTTTTAAAAGGGCATTCAGCTTATACTAATTTGGAGAGAGCAGTGACCTTTTTATTCAATAAATTCAAATACTCTGAAGAAGTTATATCAAAGGGGAACTAAATAGACAACAAACAAAATTTTAAAATGTTCTTTTTTGAACGTGTAGAGAATAAAGAGTTGAACAAAGTATTTCTAGAGTATATGAAATTTACCAAATTATTATACCCGCACTTTCTAAAGAAAGCTCGGGTATATTGTTGTTACTCATGTCCGTCCGTCCGTCCGTCCGTCCGTCTGTCACACTTTTCTTCCCTGAACTCCTCCTACATTTTACACAGAAGCTTTATCATCTTTTGGGAGATGGTTTGTGGGGTCATGTAGATGTGCAGTAAGGTTTTGGAATTTCGATTTTGCCCCGGGGGGTCAAATGGGGGTCGAAAAATGACGTTTTTTGTGCAAAAAGCCCCGTCTTCCCTGAACTCCTTCTACATTTTACTCAGTAGCCTAACCAGCTTTTGGGAGATGGTTGATGGGGTCATGTAGATGTGCAGTAAGCTTTCAGAATTTTGATTTTGCCCCAGGGGGTCAAATGGGGGTCGAAAAATGACGTTTTTTAAGCAAAAAGCTCCATCTTCCCTGAACTCCTCTTACATTTTACACAGTAGTCTAATCATCTTTTGGAAGATGGTTGGTGGGGTCATGTAGATGTGCAGTAAGGTTTGGGAATTTCGATTTTGCCCCAGGGGGTCAAATGGGGGTCGAAAAATGACGTTTTTTGTGCAAAAAGCCCCGTCTTCCCTGAACTCCTTCTACATTTTACTCAGTAGCCTAACCAGCTTTTGAGAGATGGTTGGTGGGGTTATGTAGATGTGCAGTAAGCTTTTGGAATTTTGATTTTGCCCCAGGGGGTCAAATGGGGGTCGTGACGTTTTTTAAGCAAAAAGCTCTGTCTTCCCTGAACTCCTCTTACATTTTACTCAGTAGCCTAATCATCTTTTGGAAGATGGTTTGTGGGGTCATGTAGATGTGCAGTAAGGTTTTGGAATTTTGATTTTGCCCAGGGGGGTCAAATGGGGGTCGAAAAATGATGTTTTTTATGCAAAAAGCCCCGTCTTCCCTGAACTCCTCCTACATTTTACTCAGTAGCTTAATCATCTTTTGGGAGATGGTTTGTGGGGTCATGTAGATGTGTAGTAAGGTTTTGGAATTTTGATTTTGCCCCAGTGGCTCAAATGGGGGTCGAAAAATGACGTTTTTTAAGCAAAAAGCTCCGTCTTCCCTGAACTCCTCTTACATTTTACTCAGTAGTCTAATCATCTTTTGGAAGATGGTTGGTGGGGTCATGTAGATGTGCAGTAAGGTTTTGGAATTTTAATTTTGCCCGGGGGGATCAAATGGGGGTCGAAAAATGACGTTTTAAAGCAAAAATCTCTGTCTTCCCTAAACTCCTCTTACATTTTACTCAGAAGCCTAATCATCTTTTGGAAGATGGTTGGTGGGGTCATGTAGATGTGCAGTAAGGTTTTGGAATTTTGATTTTGCCCCAGGGGGTCAAATGGGAGTCGAAAAATGATGTTTTTTGTGCAAAAAGCCCCGTTTTCCCTGAACTCCTCGTACATTTTACTCAGGAGCCTAATCATCTTTTGGGAGATGGTTGGTGGTGTGATGTAGATGTGCAGTAAGATTTCAGAACTTTGATTTTGCCCCAGTGGGTCAAATGGGGGTCGAAAAATGACGTTTTTTAAGCAAAAAGCTCCGTCTTCCCTGAACTCCTCTAACATTTTACTCAGAAGCCTAATCATCTTTTGGAAGATGGTTGGTGGGGTCATGTAGATGTGCAGTAAGGTTTCGGAATTTTGATTTTGCCCATGGGGGTCAAATGGGGGTCGAAAAATGACGTTTTTTATGCTATAAGCTCCGTCTTCCCTGAACTTCTCTTACATTTTATTCAGCAGCCTAATCATCTTTTGGGACACAGTTGGTGGTGTCATGTATATGTGCAGTAAGGTATTGGAATTTTGATTTTGCCCTGGGGGGTCAAATGAGGGTCGAAAAATGATGTTTTATATGGAAAAAGCCCAGTCTTCCCTGAACTCCTTTTTCGTTTTAAACAGTGGTCTTATCCTCTTTTGGGAGAGTTCACTCTTTTGAAATTTTGTTAATGAAATGTGAAAGTCGAATCCCTTCTCAATGAAAAGGAAATGCAACATTAATGAAAACTAAGTTAAACTTCAAGGGTAAGGTCACAGAGTCAAAAAGTCATGATACATTTGGAAAGGTCTTATCACAGGTAATATGAATGCCCTTTCATTTATCTTTCAAAATGATCAATTCAAAGCAATTAATTTGTTTATGAAATTAGGTCAAACTTCAAGGTCATGGGTAACAAGATGTGTTTGTGAAACACTATGCGCCCGGCGGCAACAAAGTTCAAAAAATCTAGTTTTAGCATATTGGTCACAGTCAAGGTCACAAGGTCATTGACCGTGGTTTCATTTGAAAGAACTTAATCAGTGGAGTATGCATCCCAAATATGAAGTCCCTATCTCCTATGGTTAAAAAGTTATGCCAAAAGTGTAAAAAGCTATTTTTAGCATATAGGTCACAGTCAAGGTCATTGACCATGGTGTCAATTCAAAGAACTTAATCAGTGGAGTATGCATCCCAAATATGAAGTTCCTATCTCCTATGGTTCAAAAGTTATGGCAAAAAGTGTAAAAAGCTATTTTTAGCATATAGGTCACAGTCAAGGTCACAAGGTCATTGACCATGGTGTCATTTGAAAGAATTAAATCAGTGCATCTAGTGGAAGATCCTATCTTCTATGGTTCAAAAGTTATGGCAAAAAGTGTTAAAAGCTATTTTTAGCATATAGGTCACAGTCAAGGTCACAAGATCATTGACCTTGTTGTCAACTGAAAGGGCTTTATTAGTGGAGTATGCATACCAAATATAAAGTCCCTATCTCCTATGGTAAAAAAGTTATGACAAACAGTGGAAAAAGCTATTTTTAGCATATAGGTCACAGTCAAGGTCACAAGGTCATTGACCTTGATGTCATTTGAAAGGACTTTATTAGTGGAGTATGCATACCAAATATAAAGTCTCTATCTCTTATTGTTCAAAAGTTATGGCCAAGGTTAAAGTTGACAACAGACAAACAGACAAACAGATAAACAGACAAACAGACAAATAGACAAACAGAAAGGACAAAAACAATATACACTCGGAATCTATCGATCCGGGCGCATAATAAAAATCATAATGTATTTAGAATGGTATTGTCCCATTTAATACTAATACACATGTTTAATATAAAAGTCCTGTCTTTTCTCATTCAAAATATATGACCATAATGACCAAGGTTAAATTTATTGTGACAGATGGGCAGATTCATTGACAAACAAATGAGATTTAATGAACCCTACCTTTAGCAAAAATGGGGGACAATAAATGTCTTTGCTGTTCTTGAGAAGAAGATTTATGTTGGAAAAAGTCCCCTGCATATTTAAATGTAAATTGGTTGAAATTGGCCCAGTGTTCAGACAAACAGATGGACAACAGAAATAAATACATTTCAGAAAACAGTATGCTTATATATAAATAGTTAATCAAGGTGCTTTGGGTAGCAAAATAAAGCTAAACTGGTATATCTAATTCATCCGCAGAGCTTAGTATATTTTAATATGCACAACCTTTCCAACTCTTATCAAAATTATTTTTTAAAATTTATATCACCATGTCTCATTCAAGGGAGAACTAGAGATATGACCAGATGTATATCTGTTGAATATAAAATATGTACATGTATACTGTGTTTTTTGAGTAATTTGTTTGTTTGTTGTGACAGCAACTTTTATGCCAGCTTTTGGCAAAGGTTGAAGTTTTTCAAATGTAAGTCAAACTCCAAGGTCAAGGTCAAAGGGTCAAGTTTGTTGGTATCAAAGGGAAAGTCTTGTCACAAGGAATACACATGTGAAAAAAAAGAGAAATCCCTAGAACTTCCTCACCTGTTCAAAAGTTATTGCCAAGGTTAAAGTTAAATTGGGTTCAACTCTAAGGTCTAGGTCAAAAATAATTATACCTGTTGAAAGTTCACAATGATTACACATGTTAGAGCATGAAAGTCCAAGCACCACCTGTTCAAAACTTAGGCCAAGTTTTAGGTATTTTTCTTGTAAAAGTGGGTCAAACTCCAAGGTCAAGAGATCAAGAGGTCAAAATTGGTGGTATCCAAGAAAAGGTTTAGCC